GTATACCGTTGGGTTAAATTGACCTTCATTTCATATAATTCTATTAAGCTTTCCTAACAACGGTTACAGTATTTCTTTTATTTTGCGATGTTTTTTATAGACTTTGTCTTCATTGCTAGATTATTTTGTCAATCTCTTTAATTTCTTGTAGTTTTTTGTATGCAAATTATAGTTAAAATCTTCCTTAGAGCAATTTGTAGAGACCAGCCTTTTGATAGCTTTTGTTTAAGGAAAAATTGCGTTTATGGAAGTCTAGTATATATCTGGAAGAAAGATAAAGGTTGCATTAAAGGGATGTTGCATTTAGAGGGTTATATTTAGAGAGGTCTGACTATAAACTAGTCTATGATGCCTATCTCATATATGGGAAAACTTTGCATTAAGGAGATTTCATCTTTAGTTTCTCTATCACCGCTTTATGATATTAGACTAGCTTCATTGTCACATCCATTCTACCCAAAAAAGTTAGAAAGAGTACTATCTGAATTAGCAATGACCATATGATATGAAGCCTACTTAGTATAATCATGGCTTAGTGTAGTGACCAACTTATCAATAGTTAATAGATATATGCACCATAGCTACAAGGAACTTAATTGCAACTCAACGACTATATGAATTAGAGTTTGCTTAATATGATCGTAGCTTAGTGACTGAAAATAGTTCAATGACCACTCGACTAATAACTTAAGTATCGTATATTGATGGTGGTAGTTGTATAGCGCGTAGCATTGCAAGGACCTTAATATTATATAAAGTCTAGCATTAATAGATATAAGGCTTTACACTACATAGAGTGCAAGAACCTAATTTGCAGCTCAATGATTATTTGATATGTGGTGTCAATGTTGTATCTTATACTGTTAAGCATTAATAGATATAAGGCTCCATAGCAGTACAAGGATCTTAATTGCAGCTTATTGACTATGAATTAGAGTTTGCATGATCATGGCTCAATTATCACCAATCCGTGGCTAAAGCATATGACACCGATAGAAATTAGTAGATATAAGGCTCTAAGGCTACATAGCAGTGCAATGACCTTGATTAATATATGACATAGAGCCTGCTTTGTGTAAGTATCTTATACTGGTAGGTATTAATAGATGTAAAGCTCTATAGCTATGTAGCAGCGCAAGGATGTTAATTGCAGCTCAATAACTTTATGAATTAGAGTTTGCTTAGTATAACCATGACTTAGTGACTAAAAGCAGCTCAATGACTACCGATCAGTAGTTTAAATATATGCCAATAGGCATTAGTAGATGAAGGCTCTATAGCTACAAGGACCTTAATGAATATATATATGAAGCTGCTTAGTAAGATTGTACAATGACTACCAATTAAGGTTTTATCTAGGTAAGTATCTTATGCTGATAGGCATTAATAGATATAAGGCACCATGGCTGCTTAGTAGTGCAAGAATTTTATTTGCAGCTCAGTAACTATATTATATAGATTTTGTTTTATGATCATATCCCAATAATTAATGGCCACTTGATTAATGGTTAACTTGTATAAGCATTTTTTGCCACCGCAGTATAAGGTTAATACAATTAAACGATTAAACTGAGTCTGCTTTGTGACTTTTTTGTGACATTGTAGGGAAATAGGTTTTTCAGACAAAATGAAATGATTTTAGCTAGTTTAAAATTTGTTTGAGTTTTTTTATCTTGTCCCATCCAACCTATCAGATATTCTTAAAATTATATAGCCAGATGATAGTTACAAGCAATAATTTGTTTGTATATGAGCAGACAAAAAAAAGCAATTATAATGTAATGATTCTTTTTGAAGTACTATGTAGTAGCGATCTTAATTTTTATGTGTTTTTTTCTTCGTAATAAAAATTCGATCGAGCAATAATAATAAAAATAAAATCCTATTATTAAAAACAATAATTAAAAACTTTAATTTCTAGACTATTATTAGAACGAACATCCGATTCTAACCTAAGTACAATACAGTAATAAAGTATCAAGTATTATCGTGATTAAGTCTTTGATGATCAGTGATTATCATTTTATCAGGCTAATAAAAAATCTGATAAAAAAAAATGAAAATTATCAAATATCTAGTAAAGACATCTATAAATTTATATCAGGACACCAATTTTTATGTATATAAGTTTTAGTTTAATTATCATTTACTGTCACATCTTTGATTTTACAGATATATACACTCGTTTGTAAGTTTTTTGTATATTTTGTATATAAGCAATATAAATAGAAGGTGTGATGAAATGCATATAAAAAAATAAACAAAATTTGATAAATAAGTCATGCAGACCAATCAAAATTAAGATTTTGTAAACAAATATTGCTTCAAACAGCATATAAACCATATACTTCGTGATTGTATTACTCTGTTCCTGGTATATTAAAACAATTCTTCTATATTCAAATTTTCACAATTTCTTTCTAATCTTTTTACATATTTATGCTTTCAATCTATTTCTTACTATTCTAATTCCACAATTTCATATTTTTATAAATTTTTCATATAATTCTAATTACTTTTAATATAAATCATAATATCTAAACATGCTAAACGAATTTAAAAAACCAAAACTATTTTTGCTAGTCTTCTTGCTAGAACTGCTACATGTATATCTATAGCTACTACAAGTTATTCTGAAAGATCAACTGAAATTATTAATGAATCCACTTCAAGAAATAATATTTCACAACAAGGTGATAGTATTCAAGTATAATTAAACTTATTTCTAATTTTTATAATAATTTTAATTATATTTAAATAAAATAATTTTAATTTTAATATTATATTTTAGAAAATACTTTATCCAATATTTTGGTTATATTAAATGAACATACTAATATGTTAAAAAAACTAACTGAAAAGACTGATAGAATTAATAGATAATTAGATTTAATTGAAGACAAATTTTTGGAAAGTTTTAATCTTGCTCACAAAATTAACTTTATAAAGTATTTTTTTATATTTTTAAATAATTAATTTAAAATAACAATTATAAAATTTTTAATTATCTCTTTATAATATATACTATAGTTAATAATATAAATTTATAATAATATATATATTTTTTTTTCAGTGTTAAGATGACCTCTTGGTCAAGTGTGCTTTATTGATTTCGAATGTGTTATACATATTTGGAGGGTACATCTAGTCATATCTATGCCTTTTGAGTGCCTATTTAAGTAGTCTGTCTATTACTAGGTTCTATACTAGTTGCCATATCTGCAACCCAACTAGGGTTACTCATATAAACCCTCTGCACCTATGTACTTTGACACATACGTCAATCGACAACCATTTCTTCAGTTCTATGAACTGATTTCCCTGGCGCACGTTCACATGATAATTTAGAACTTTAAAGCAGATCTTCATTTTCTTCGTAACCTACTTCTGGTTCTTTATCCTCAAGGTAAACCTGGCAGAGCTCGCAGTATTCCTACTTTATACCGCACCTAGTCTGCACTTCAGTTTGGTATGCACGGGCCGTGGCCCACCACTTGCGGCTCAGTTTTGCCCATTCTGAGAGTATATATAGTGCCGGGTCGAGGTCCTTGCCTACGGTTTTTCCCCAGCTTAAATTTTCTCCTGCTTCTTTCTACGGTTTAATCCCAGTTTGGCTGAACTCCGCTATCCAAACCTACTTCTGCCCTTGTAGAATTCACTCAAACTCCAGAACTTACTTCACAGTATATTCCTAATACTTTAGTAACCTAGCTCCCTTTATTCAAACTTCCAATCCAGATAGCCTAGTATGTAATCACTTATTTTCCTCTGATTCGACGGCGGCCTAGTTGGTGTTAACAATTTCACCTATTTGTCGATAGCAGAGGCCCCAACTCTGGTTCTCAACTTCCAAGCTAAATGGCCTGGTAACCGTATACTTTTTCTCTGCGTCTAGGCAGGTACCCTCCAAAGGGCAGCTAGTAAGTCTCTCACCATCACCATGACTTTTCTGCAATTATAGGGGCTCTCTAGCTAGATTCTCAGTCCTTTTTCCTATTTGTAGCGGCCTGGTTGGTATGGGTGCTTTCCCAAATATCCCATATTTTGTTCAGTTCAGTTTATATGGGTTTTGTTTTCTGGGTCTAACCTTTATAGTAGCTTTGTCAAAGATCTGTGCTACCTCTCTACTCAGGACTTGCCAAGTAGGCTTTTATATTCGCAGTTCTCCAGATTTACACGGCCCAGGATCTTATCTTGTGTTTGTACCACCCTATTATCAGTTTGCATTCTTTCATGTAACCTTATATTACACAAATATCTCAGACCTCCCAGTCTTGCTAGTGCAACTGTAGTTACAAGTATCCTATCCCAACTGATCGTTGAATACAGTTAGCCATAACACAAGCAGAATTTTTGAATTTTTGTCACCGGTGAGATTCGAACTCTTGATCTGCCACTTGGGGTGACAACTTGACCACTTCGCTATGTCACCACACCCCATAATAATATTTTTAAATTTATATTAATAGCAAATAGTTAAAAAAATAGTAAAATTATTAATTAAATATTCAATTTATCTATCTGACAAAGAATTAATGGAGGTTACTCAATTCTATTTAGAAAAAAATCATAGTAAATTTTATGAAAATATGTCAGATAAGCAATGGAAAGTATATAAAAAGAATATTGAAAAACTTATAAATTTTTTTAATTTTTTATAATATTATTAAATATTCTAATTAATTTGAATATATTCAAAATAATTAGAATTAATTTAAAAATATATAAATATTTAAAAATATATTTATTATTAATTTTATCATAAATTTTAGCTCTTAAAACAATTTAGAACTTACCAAAGTACTTTAATAATATATATTAAGAATACAATATTTTCTGTTTTTGGTATAAGCCAGTTAGATTCTATCAATACAAATTCTTCTCCTTTGGTAGTTGCTGTATAGAAAGCTTTGGAAAAGATACAAAATTGTTATAAGAAGCTTTTCACAAAAATAGACTCAAATAATCTTACCTCTGAAATGTATATACAAACAATTTTAAAAAACTTTGAGCAGGCAGAAATTTACCAATAAATAAGATAGTATATACAATTACAGTATGTGAAATAATGCTAAATCAGCATTATAATAAAATAATATTATCAGAGCAGTTAGAAAAATATAGACTAAATAAAAATCTAGTAAGTAAATTTTAATTATAATTTTTAAACAATTAAAAATATAAAAATTTTATAATATTTAAATATATTTAGAATAATTCAAAATAATTTTAAACACAAACTTAAATAAAAATTCGTGCATCATAAAATCGCCCATATCTCAATAATTTATCAAAGAAACATACCTCCACTGCTTAAGAAAAACTGCTCCTCTCATAGTTTTACACATATTCTATAAGTTTCAAGTCTCTAGCTTAGAAACTCGTAGCAAAAACATCAAAAACCAGTTTTGGT